TTGTGGTTACGGACAGGCACAGGTATTTGATTTGTGAAGGTATCTGAGATTGCTGCTTTACAAAATGATTTTTAGTCATTTTGTTCATATTTTCACAATAGCAAATATTGTGAATGATGTAACAACTTTGCTTCAACCGTAGGAAAATGCCAAAGTACTTCAAGAGAGAAGTATTGCTTATATCAACTCAGATTCGTCTATAGAAGGTAATATTTTATTTCAAAATAGTAAATTTTATCTCAAGTAACTTGTGTTTATAATTATGAAGCAATACACTAGCCTTTTAAATCTATAAATTCCAACTTGTTAAATATTTCCCATATTCTGTTCTCATGAGATTTCCTCAGTAGTCTCTTAATGTTCCATCTTACCCAGGAAGAGTACTGAATCATCAATCAATATGATTCACAACTACATTATTGCACCTAATTGTCATAGTCACCATTTGCCACTCTTGGTTAATATTCTAATATCAACACATTTTTCCTATAAGGATGCTAAAGGACTTTGGCTGAAGTACTTCACAGGAAATGGTTTATAGAATATTTTATCGAGAATATTTCTTGTATTAAAATGTTTTTTAAAAAAATTATTAAAAACAATTTTCTGTCTTTATTGATTGAATTTGAAGTCCACATCCAGTAAAAATTTTTGTTTTTGGCTTTTTGAGACAGGCTTTCACCATATAGTTCAGGCTGGCCTTGAGCTCACTTTGTAGCCCAGGCTGGTCTCAAACTCTCAATGATCCTCCTGCCTCAGCCTCTGGGATTACAGGCATGCTCCATCACACCCAGTGAAATCTACTTTTTTTTTTTTTTTTTTTTTTTTTTTTTTGTGTGTGTGTATGTGTGTGGGGAGGTACTGAGAATTGAATTCAGGACTTTGTGCTTGGCCAGCAGGTGTTGTGCTGCTGAGCTTCATCCCTAGTCCCAGTTGTCATGAATTTTGTTGGTTTCTACATGAATGGCAGTGCGTTATGCTAGCATCTTTTTTTTTTTTTTTGCTTGTTTAGGTTTTTTTGGTGGTACCGGGGATTGAACCCAGGTCCTTGTGCTTGCCAGACAAGTACTTATTCTACTGAGCTATCTCCCTGACCTTATGCTAGCATCTTGATGGACTCTGTGGATGTGAATCAGAGAATAAGGAGGGTCCCTGTAGCTTTACCTCTTCCCCTGCCAGAGCTCCCCTGAGAGGCCGCCCAGGGTGATGGGCTGGCTGCTCTTCCAGCTTGCGCCACAGTCAGCAAAGGCTTCCTCCTCTTCCGTCAGTCCTGGGTACACACTGCAGCCTTTTCCCTTCCCACAGAACCATCTCGGTCCTGTTTTCTTTTGTGGGAGTTGTTCTTGGTTTATTTTTTATTTTTTTTTT